GAGTGAAAGAGGGAAAGGGAGGGAAGGGGACGTGACGAAAAGCGAGGGTGACTTGGAGAAAGGACAAAGGGCGAGAGGGTAAGGGGACGTGAATCAGGCTGTTGATCAAAGACGTAAGGGGAGGCAAGGGAGAGCAATATCAGACATTAGACAGAATCGGCAACGGTGACGACGAATCGAGATGGGAAGGGACGAAGCTTACCTCCTTGCCCCACTCCGTTTTCTCCTCGTAACCGCACGAGATGACGTGGATGGCCTCCTTAAGAGTGGATCCGGGACTAGCAGAAGCCACGCCGCCGCCCTCCTCGTGGAAAGTGGAGAGCACAAAGACAGGGGACTGGCCGAACTTCTTCTCAAACTTCTTGAGCGCCAGGAGGCTGTCTCCCTCCACTGCGGAACAAATCAGCGTATAATTGAAGGACAAGGGAGATTATGGGTCGCAATAAATCTGGAGAGCACGAGGACGGGCGAATAGCAAACAAAGTTACGGGAGCAAGGGAACAAGGGGAGAGACACGACAACAGAGACGTTACGAATCCACTCACCATCTTCGTCGCCCAAAAAGGCCTCGGCGCCGGCGGGCAGCGGCGTGCCATCTGGAAGCTTCTTGCGCTTGCTTCCGCCCTCCTTCCCGCGGTCGCCCGCGCAGCAGCTGAAGCACGAGCACAGCAGCCCGTTGCACCGCGCCTTCTTCTCCTTCTTGGGCGGCTCGTAGCCGTAGAGCGCGTGGCGACGGAAGCAGCATCCGGTACCGACGTAGCAGGGGCCCTGAACACCGTCCAGCCCAGGCAAGTTGATCTGTACGGATGGAGAGAACGGGGACGATGATGGAAGGAGAGGATCAGCAAGGTATGGCGAAAACGGGACATGCAGGTGAAGGGAAGGAAAAGGAAGGTAGACTGAACTAGTGGCAAAGGAAGCTGTAAGGAAGGGGAAGGGAGACGATGATAGAGGGACATCAAGGAGAGAGGCTCACATCGAAGAAGACGGTGTTGTGGTTGGCGTAACGATCGTTGGGGTCAATGCCGTCGAATCGCTGCGGGAACTGCACGTAGCAGCACTTCTTGCCCACGTTGGGATCCATCATGAAGCACATGGCCTCGCGCAGCGCCTTGCTGTCGTTCAGGTAATGATCGCAATCCAGGTTCAGCATGTACGGCGCGTTGGACAGAATCGCCGACACGCGAATCAGCGCGTTCATCGCACCGGCCTTCTTGTGGTGGTTGTAACCCGGGCGCTTTTCGCGAGACACGTACACCATTCGCGGAAGAGGGTTACCATCGACATCGGTTCCGCCGCTCGGGCCGAGGAAGACCTGGATCATGCCGGGATGGTCGCGCGATTTGCTGCCCGGCCACGGCGTGCCGTCCTGCATCACCCAGCCGTCCTCGGGCATCTTGTGGGAGCGCGCGACGAGGGCGTTAATGCGGATCTTGAACTCCTCATAGTCCCTCTGTAGCAGGAGGATTGGGTACCAGGAGACAAGAAAAAGAGATACGGGGGAAGTGGGAGGAAGAAATGTCTTAGCAAACGTCATTTGCATAGAGGTGCGCATTCAAATTCGGAAGGGCAGCGAAAAACTATCCGCGGCGCGTCTCTCGTATCAAGGACTACGATTTCGAAAATGTTTGCCTCGCGTAACTACAGAAGAGGGTGGGAAAAATAAGTTCGTATCGCAAAGCCGCACCTTCATTTGGCGACGATCCTTGACGAAATCCTGGTCGACCTTGTCCTTGAGGTAGTCAACTTTCTGCGTGAAGTACACTTCGGGTGCCCGCGGCTCGATGCTGTACCTCTTCGCGAAAGGAACCCAGCGCCTTGCGAATTCCGCCGTTTCGCCCATCGCGTCGAAGGTCAGCATCGCGCCACCATCGTCGTGCACGTATGCCGAAACTTTCTCGACGGGATAATCAACGGACAGGATGGAAAGAAGCGTGTTCGCTGTGGTGAGCGGGGGTTCCTTCTGCGGGTCCACCGTCGACACGAAGAAATCGACGGGCGACAGCTGCGAAGGCTCGCCCTTTCGGTCGAAACGCAGCGCCAGACGGTCCAGATACGTCTCTCGCTTGATCGGCATCCACTTCGGAAACTGATCGAGAATCCACGAAAACGCGAACCAGACTTCGCAAATTACCGAAATCAGCCAAAGCCACCACGCCCCATCGACGGGATTCAGGCACCGCCAGCGAAGGAAGAACACGAGCACCACCAGACGAATCACGATAACCAGACGGTACGGGCTGATGAGCGACGACGGATAATGAACCTTGCGCGATAGAGGCTGGCGAGATTCGTCCATGGACGGGAGATCGCCTTCGGCAGTGGCGCCTGCGGAAACTTCGGCTGCGCCGTTGCCGTCGCCGACCACCATACGATCCTGCTGCTGCTTCCACGACTCCACGCGATCCTTCCAGACGACGCTACCGTAGCCGTAGCTGGGGGCTCGAAGCTCCACTGCAGACACGTGCGCGAAGGTAACGGAGTATTGAAAAAAAGAGTTTAGCGGCCGTATGCATTACATATGTAATTGAAAAGCGTTTCGGTTACAACTTACTGGCCATGTCGTTGGCGCTCGGCGTCTGGCTAGGCGTACGGCTGGGCGTACTCTCGTACTTGTTGTAATCCGAGGGCGGCGGAATCGTACCGGCCGGCACCATAGCGCCTGGGTTGTACTCCGTTGCGACAGACTGATCGGGATTGACCTGGTTGGACGTCAGCATCGGGTACTGCGACGACGCCTGCGCGTTGTGCGACACGTACGAGGCGTACGACGTCGTAGGGACGTCCAGCGATGCGCCGCCCCTGTCGCCTCCGCGGTCGCTCCTCTCCTCATCGTCGTCCTCGTCATCGTCATCTTCGTCAATGCGCGGGCTCCCTGTTGGAAATCCCGTGTGGAGAATAGAGGCTTCAATTTAGAGACAAACGCAAACTATCGTCGTGAATGCACGGGCTTCCGGTGTGAAAAGCTGCACGGCAAGACAAAGCTAGACAGAAATGAGCGCAAGACTACGTCGTTCAAACGACACGTCTGCGCTGCGGACACTAGTGCACATGCTGACATTGTCTCGCTAGTGGCACGTACCCTTGTATCGCTTGTAAAACGTCTTGCACTGCGGGCACGCGCGGCTGCCCTCCTTGCGCTCGTAGTCGTAGCACGGGCGGCACACGGGGTACGCGCACTCGTGGCACGCCACGAAGATGCCGCCCTCCACGAATTGACCCACGTCGTCGCCGCAGATCTGGCAGATGATCGGGTTGAACGTCGGGTTGTGCGTCTGCGGATCGGAGAAAGAAAGACGAAAACAGTCGAACACGGTAAGTTCATGCTGGTTTGGTTACGAAAAAGCGCTCATTCTCGACGAATTAACTCGCATCGTCAACGCATTTCCGGCAGATGTTGGATAGAAGGGTATTGAACGCGATAGATCAGTGAATCTTATCAACGCGAAATGTGTACAGGGTTCGGTAACAAAGCCCACTCCATTCTGACAAAGGTCGTGAGTCGGTAACGGCCATTTTGATAAGCGGTTAGAGTTGATGGACGAATTACCACTTGGGAATCCTTGCGGATAACGACTAGGTGGTTCCGATTGTGGCTGCCTGCCACTAGGCCCGTGTTGTGCTCCATAGCGGCCTCCCAGCTCAAGCGCGCAGGGGGCGCTTCCTGTCTATCACTCTAGGAGATACTCAACTCGACCGAACCAGATTCGAAATGTCTACAACCACCACAGTTTCACAGGCTTCTTGCAGCTTTTTGCCGCCTCGCTGGTAGAATTGTGGGATGTGCTCAGATTATAAGAAAAGGAGGCTGTCGGGAGCGAGGCATTGGGAGGTGGAGGGCGACAAGGGTGGCTGGGGGGGCTTTGGCAGGGATTGGCGGGTGGCGCACAGGCGCGCAAGCTGGGAGCGGCCGGGTGATTCAGAATCGTCGTACAAGCAGAGTGGTTGGCTGAAGGGGGGCGGATTGAGTCACAATTCGAAGGGAGAAATAATAAAATGCGCCTCGGGACAGCCAAAGCGCAACCGAGCGCCATAACAGGTAGGACGCGTCGGGGCTGGAGCTGACGAATCAGAATGAACTTCTGACCCCGCATCGTGCGGTGGAGATGGTCGCGTGGACGACCATGCGACCCAGGGCAATGGCGTCCTGGTCGCATTGCATCTGCTGCGACTGTCGATGGATGGCACAAGCCTAGTCTGGTCAAGGGTTGATGCGACTTCACGGGAGGACAAAGCTGTCGTTATACGACCCATTCTATGCGCGAACTTGTAACAGCCAATGGGTGTGCGCCATGGCAGCTCTGATTGGGCCTGTGACTTTGTGAACTTGACAAAGGCGTATCGCAGCCATTTTCTTATCGAATGGGCAGGCACAAACGAGGGGGCGGTGCGCTGGAGCGATGTGAATATATTCTGATTCAATCACAAAGGTCTTTCGCAGGGGGGGCAATATCTATGCTGAATAGATATATAACATACATGAATGTTGACTAGGGCTTACATCCACATTGTTGGAGTAGCATGCTCCACACAGGATAGTTAACATCTATACCATATCGCTGCAATGCATTCAGTAGGTTCTCTTGTCACTCTCATTCTAGTTTTCCCCTATTAATTTATTTCTTCTTCTTTTTGTGGTCCCGGCCTTGTCGCATACTACACTTTGTCGCATGGACGCAAATAAGCAATCACGAGAAGTTACAATATTACTATTTCACCTTATTTTCCATGAAAAACAATCTGTGGCTGACCCTTATACGCAGCAAAGCAAATAAGGTATAGGATGGAAGGACTACCATCCAAATTACGTACCCGCTTGCGCTTGGCCCTGTTAGCTGTAACATATAAAAAGAAATCACATTCGTGTGAATATCACTGAACAATAACGTCGTGTCAAATGTTGTAGACCAGGAAAGCGCACCAAGTGTTACATTATTACATCAGATGGTGCACAACACATTATTCCTCATATATTCCTCACTAATCACCCTCGTCATTCCTCAGTCGTATGTCTGCCTCAGCTGCATCTCTGTCTCGCTCTTCCACGTGGCATGCGACGATTGGCCCTTCATTCGCTTCGACTTCTCCTTGTCCTTGACTTTGCTATCCCCGTCCCGTTTTTTCGCTTTCTCTCTGCCCGCTGCCACGTCAGCGCCTCCTGCTGGCCTATCGCGGCAAATCGGGCAGACCACACCCTGCCCCGAGGAAGGAGTCTTGGGAACCTGACAGGTCGGGCAGATCCTGCAAATGTTCGTGACATTCAAGCAGAGTGAGGGTGGGGAGGAATGGGGGTAAAGTTTCATACTAAAACAAAAACAGGACTAAAGGAGGTACAAAACTGGGACAAAACTAGGTAATTTTACTTTCCTCCCCTTACCCCCAACCCTATCCACCTGAGGAGATTCACAGCATCGGCTTCAGAAGGCATTACATCTCCCTCCATACCCCTTACACCACTCTGCACCTCTACCCACCTGAGGAGATTCACAACATTGGCTTCAAACGTCAAGGAGCCATACTACCTCCCTGCAACCAGCCCTTGTACACCTCTCTGCACCTCTCTGCACCTCTCTCTGCACCTCTTCCTCCCACCTAAACCGTTTCATTATCCTTGTCCCACCCACCTGAGCAAATCCACTGCATCTGCTTTAGGTGGCATTGACACGCCCACTGCCTTTCTGCCATGTGGCGCGTCCCCATTTGCTGCGTCAGAGCCCTCTGCTGCCTCATCCCCCCCTTCCACTGCAGCAGCAGGTGCAGCAGCAGGGGCGTTTGGGTTTCTCACGGGCGCTGCTACAATCTCCCGTACTGGGAAGGGGGAGATTAAAGGGAAGGGAGCCAAGGGCATGGGCGAATAGAGGGACATATTATGTTTACCAATGCAGCAGGGGCGTTTGGGTTTCTCACAGGTGTTGCTACGATTTCCCGTAATGAAAGGGGGAGGTTACAGGGAAGGGAGGCAGGGAATGGGTTAATAGAGGCACATATGATATTTTGCATTGCAGCAGCAACAGCAGCAGCAGCAGCCGCAGCAGCCGCAGCAGGGGCGTTAGGGTTTCTCACAGATGCTGCTACAATCTCACGTGCTGGAAAGGGGTTACGAGGCAGAGAGAGAAGAGGTGAAGGGGAGGAGCATAATGTTTTTCCAAAGCAGCAGCAGCAGCAGCAGCAGCAGCAGCAGCAGCAGCAGCAGCAGCAGCAGCAGCAGCAGCAGCAGCAGCAGCAGCAGCAGCAGCAGCAGCAGCAGCAGCAGCAGCAGCAGCAGCAGCAGCAGCAGCAGCAGCAGCAGCAGCAGCAGCAGCAGCAGCAGCAGCAGCAGCAGCAGCAGCAGCAGCAGCAGCAGCAGCAGCAGCAGCAGCAGCAGCAGCAGCAGCAGCAGTAGCAGCAGCAGCAGCAGCAGCAGCAGCAGCAGCAGCAGCAGCAGCAGCAGCAGCAGCAGCAGGTTCAGCAGCAGGGGCGTTAGGGTTTCTCACAGGTGCTGCTACAATCTCCCGTGCTGGAAAGGGGTTACGAGGCAGAGAGAGAAGAGGTGAAGGGGAGGAGCATAATGTTTTTCCAAAGAAGCAGCAGCAGCAGCAGCAGCAGCAGCAGCAGCAGCAGCAGCAGCAGGTTCAGCAGCAGGGGCGTTAGGGTTTCTCACAGGTGCTGCTACAATCTCCCGTACTGGAAAGGGGTTACGAGGCAGAGAGAGAAGAGGTGAAGGGGAGGAGCATAATGTTTTTCCAAAGCAGCAGCAGCAGCAGCAGGTTCAGCAGCAGCAGCAGCAGGTTCAGCAGCAGGGGGTTTCGGGTTTCTCACTGGTGCTGCTACTGGAAGGGGCAGACGGAGGGGGAGAGTGCAGGGCGGAGAGGAGAGGGAGGCAAGGGGATGGGTGCGGTGAGGGACAGATTGGGGTGAGCAGTGCAGCATGAGCAGCACAAGTGATTGCAGTAGCGGCAGGTTCAGCAGCAGCAAGGGCGTTTGGGTTTCTCACTGGTGCAGCTACAATCTCCCGCACTGGGAGGGGCAGAGGGAGAGGGAGAGTGCAGGGCGGAGAGGAGAGGGAGGAAAGAACCCCAATATATGCAAGGATAAGGAATGACCACTCAACCGAGCCCCAACACCCACTCACCCCCACCGCCGACACCCCCTGCTCGCCGCTCTCGGAACACCACCGCTGCAGGAGCAGGTGCAGCCGCCCCGGCGACAGACACGTTGCCACGTGGCGCCTCCTCATTGGCCGAGCCCATCGCAACGAGCTTCCCGGAACGGGCTATGTGCATGTGGTGGGAGAGGGCCGTTGGCGCGAGGAAGGATGGTGGTCCCTCTACCTGAAAAGGAACATAGACACGGAGGGAGAGGAGAGGAGGAAGAGGAGAGGAGGGAAATTGAGGGAAGAGAGGGAATGGCAACGAGCTTGCCAGAGCGAGCCATGTGCATGTGGTGGGAGAGGGCTGTTGGCGCGAGGACGGATGGTGGTCCCTCTCTACTGCAGCATGCAGAGGAAAGGGGAGAGGACAGGAGGGCAAAGAGGAAGGGGGTATGGGTGGGGAAGTAACAGGGCAGACAGAAACTTGTTTATCAGTGCGGGCTATGTGCATGTGGTGTGATAGGGATGATGCGGCGAGGAAGGACGGTGGGCGCTCTACCTGTAAGGAATCCAAGGGGAGGGGGAGGGGGGAGTCTAGTTTTGAGGCGCCTCAAAAATAGGGATGATGCAGCGAGGGAGGACGGTGGGCACTCTGCCTGTAAGGAATCCAAGGGGAGGGGGAGGGGGAGGGGGGGGGAGGCAGCAACTGGTTTGTCAGAGCGGGTATGCGCATGTGGCGGGATAGGGCTGCTGGTGTGAGGAAGGGCGGTGGTCCTTCCACCTGCGAGGAGAACAAGGGAAGGGGAAGAGGGGTAAGCAGCAACGAGGTTGCCAGAGTGAGCCATGTGCATGTGGCGGGGTAGGGCTGTCGGTGTGAGGAAGGGCGGTGGTCCTTACTTCCACCTGGGTAGGAGACAAAGGGAGGGGGAGGCGAGGGTTGATCGGAGAAGGAGGGAAAACAACAACTGGTTTGTCAGAGCGGGTATGTGTGCATGTGATGTGGTGGGATAGGGCTGTTGGGGCGAGGAAGGACGGCGGTCCTCCTACTTGATGGGAGAACAGAGAGTCAGAGAGGGGTATTCTTTTAGAATAATATAGTTGATTGGGGAAGGAGGGGAGACAGCAATCGGTTGCCCAGTGGGGGCTATGTGCATGTGGTGGGAGAGGGCCGTTGGCGCGAGGAAGGATGGTGGTCCCTCTACCTGGGGGAGTGATAAAGACAAGGAGGGAGAGGAGAGGAGGGGAAATGAGGGAAGAGAGGGAGGAAGCAACGAGCTTGCCAGTGGGGTCTATGTGCATGTGGTGGGAGAGGGCTGCTGGGGCTTTTGAGACGTCTCAAAAGTCAGTAGGGGCTATGTGCATGTGGTGGGAGAGGGCTGCTGGGGCTTTTGAGACGTCTCAAAAGTCAGTAGGGGCTATGTGCATGTGGTGGGAGAGGGCTGCTGGGGCTTTTGAGACGTCTCAAAAGTCAGTAGGGGCTATGTGCATGTGGTGAGAGAGGGCTGCTGGGGCTTTTGAGACGTCTCAAAAGTCAGTAGGGGCTATGTGCATGTGGTGGGAGAGGGCTGCTGGGGCTTTTGAGACGTCTCAAAAGTCAGTAGGGGCTATGTGCATGTGGTGGGAGAGGGCTGCTGGGGCTTTTGAGACGTCTCAAAAGTCAGTAGGAGCTATGTGCATGTGGTGGGAGAGGGCTGCTGGGGCGAGGAAAGATGGTGGTCAATCCACCTGAAAGGCGGGTCTGGGAGTGATAGCCACGTGATAAAAGAGTTGTTTTGAGACGTCTCAAAACAACTCTTTTATAAAGACGGTGGTCCCTCCACGTGAAAGGCGGGGCTGGGAGAGAGGCTGAAAATTATAGTTTCTCTGCACTTCAACTGGTTTCCGATAGGGTCCAGCAAAGTAGCTTGCCAGTGCGACCACACACTTGAAACGGTTGTTCAGGTTGTTCTTAATAGGAGGTAGGATCTGAACAGCCTACCTCCTCCGCAGATCCTAGTGTCCCCCTCTTGCTCTTAATACCCACCCCGCTTCCTCTCCCTCTTTCGCCTCTCCTCCACACCATTACCATAGCACCGGCCTAGAACCTCCGGTCACCACCGCCTCGAACCGGACAGTAATCCCGTAATTCCTTTCCCATGCCTCTCTCCCAATCGGTATCACGTTTTCCTCCCCCCACTAACCCTAATTTTCCTTCACTTCTCTCCCTCCTACCCCCCTACCTCCTCTCCTCCCACCGGCCCTCGCCTCTTCCCTCCCTCCCACTTCCCTTCCTCCTCGCCTCCCACCGGCCTGGAAGTGCCACGCACCGCTTCGAACGCTGCTGCAGCGGACGGCAATCCCGAGGGTCCTTTCTCCGGCAAAAATCCGGCAGCCGTCCGTCTCGCGCCGCCTATTCTACCGGCTGGAAGCGCTCCTCCCGCGATTTCCTTCCCGCCGTTATCCTCTCTCGCCAGAGAAGCTTCTTCCCGGTTTTCCCCCTCGGTGTTATCCTCTGCCTCCGCATCTTCCGCGTCTTCCAAATCGCTGCCCGAAGAATCTGACGAATCGCCTCCTTGCACGAAAGCAGCGCTCCTTAAACGCGCTTCGTCCTCGTCTGAATCGTAGCTCTGAACGAGCTGAAGGCTCATGGCAGCGAAAAACTTAGTTACTCCTACTAACCCCTAGTAATTGCCTTCGTCGCTGGTTCTTGCTGCCTAAAAAAGTGTCGACATCCACAAAGACGAACAAAACTCAAGCTGTTCAAAATGACGGACTAATGGAGATAATAGGCCTGCTTTTTTGGAACGAGATTCATGGAATACGTATGAAAATAGCTGGATCCTAGGTCGGTGGAAGAAGCATACCTGCAGCAATCCTGAAGGCGTGCTGCCTCGAATTCGAAATTCGTGACGAAATGGAATATGGCGAGTTTGAACACGGTGCGGGCTGTTTCAGTGAGATAAAGTTACAGAAGAACCAACAGTCTGAAGTGGATTGTGTTTTCGATGCAAAGCGTTTCATTTTCAACTCAGAACGGTTGGGTTGGATATTGTTAAAGTTCTGGTCATGTCCGCCTTGCACCACCCTCGGGCTGTGTCCTCCAGGGCCTGGTTGTGGGTCATTATCATTTTCATAACAGAAACCTAAGAGCGTGGAACATCCTCATGACCAAGTGTTCGGTCGCTTGTTTGGTCGCTCATTTGGTTTCGTCACTAGTTTGCGACAAGATTCGCTTGGTAACACACAAAACCACAAATTGTGAATCAAATTCGCTTTTGGGAATTTGGAAGGCACCCTGGTCGACCAGCAGCGAAAATTAGCGAGAATACACGAAGAGAAATACTTTCGTCATCTGCTTCGCAGCGAATCGTGTGCGAGTATTTCACCCACGACAGCACCTGGTTGCACGTCGCATGTTTCTGCTTGCCAAACCATTTCTTGTCCTATCCGTATGTGTGGGACAACCAAAGTGCATAAGCTGTGGAACGTGCATGCATCTTTCAGACTTCGTCACTCCCCTACGAGGCCCCATGGCGAGAATCGCAAATGGGGTTACAGTCGCATTTGGGCGACCAATGCCTTGTTCATAAGGATGTTCCACGCTCTAATATACGTGTCATTGTGGTACATAATTGCCTGTAGGCTGTAACGAAGCTAACTCTAGACGAGTATTTTTTTGTACCCGACTAGTCAACTGATTATTCCCTTACCCAGCTTGAACATGACAATAGCGAGCGTCGTATCGCAGGAGATGTGTAAACGAATACAGTACAGTGGTGCTGTTCGCCAGCACATCGTTTTTTAAATTGAAAACGGCGGCATCAGCATCGTGACCGCATATGGAAACGGGGGTGGAACCTGCTACGATCAGAGAATGATCGCTAACCAGGATCTACTCGGGAAGGTTCGCACACAGGGAAATGTAGTTGGTGGGCCCGTGACCTCAATAGCAGAGTGAATGTAAAATGCTTGAGATAATTAAAACATGCAAATACAGCAAGTATAAATATGAGTACAGGGAAGACGAAGCGACCTAGCTAGCCATGTACTCTAAGGGGTACATTCCCTTATTCAAATACATTCCCAACCGTGCGGCGCGTACAGTTTCGTAACTGTTCCCGCCAAAACATCCTGCCTGCAGCTGTCCGATGCTGTATGCTTCCGACGGTTCAGATGCGACCCAACTGTCTGACACTTCGAGTCAAACTCCAACTGTCTGACGGTTCGCTTTCTTGCTTCGATACTGCGTGCTTCTCTTGCTGCGGTGAGGAGTGCTCAGTAACAATTAAATGTTACTATTCGTAACACCCCCCTTCACTCCTGGCCGTAGCTCGATTTGACCTGCTTGACCACGCCGCTGAGTTCGGAGCAGTGCTGATACTGCTGGCGTGGCAGTCGCTTCGTGAGGAAGTCCGCTGCCATGTCACCGGTCGGGCAATAGGTCAAGTTGACCTTGCCCTTGTCCACTTCGTCCTTCACGAAGAAATACCGCAGCGCAATGTGCTTGGTGCGATTGACGAAACCAGGTTTGTTCGCGATGCGAATCGCACTCTGGTTGTCGCAGTGAAGTCGAAAGGTTGGCGAAGTTGGAATTTTCGCCTCCTGCAGGAGTTCCTGTAGGTAGAGGCCCTCGCGAACTGCTGCGGTTGCTGCGATGAATTCCGCTTCGGCTGACGACAGGGCAACCAGCTCCTGCTTCTGTGAGTTCCAGGAGATTGGCCCCGTTGGTTCGAGTCGGAACAGGAAGCCGGTCCTGGACCGTCGATTGTCGGGATCTGCTGCATGATCGGCATCCACATAGCCGACGAGATTGAAAGAAGGGGTTGGTGCAGTTGAGTAGCACAGCCCAATCTTGGGCGTTGAAATGAAAAATTGCAAGGCGCGCTGTAGGTCCAGGTGATTTTCAGCCGTTGGTTTCCGTGAGTGCTGGGCAAGCTGACTTGCGATGTAGGAGAGGTCTGGCCTGCAGGTGACAGAGGCGAAGAGGAGGCATCCCAGCTGCTGCTGGTAAGTCTGGATTCCAGCAGGGGACAGGGCTTTGTTGTCAGGTTTGTGGTTCGGTCCGGGGGTTCGATAGGGAGTCGAGAGAGGTGCGGGTGAAATCTTGAACCGCTTCCCTAACTCCTCTGCATACTTAGCCGCTGAGAGGTGAATGGCTTCAGGCGCGTAGGAGATGTTGAGGCCTAGGAACTGCTTCACCTCGTAGTTGCACGTGATGTCGACGCGCCCCGCCAAAGCCTTCTCGAACTGTTCGAGCAGCTCGTTGTTTGAGCCCGTGTAGAGCAAGTCGTCGACGTAGACCGTGAGGAGGATGTATTCCCCGCGGAAATCGCGGCGGTACATTCCTAGGTCGTGGGGCATCTGCTTGAACCCGATTTCAAGCAGGATGTTGTGCAAGTACTGCTGCCACAGCCTTGGAGCCTGCTTGATGCCGTACAGTGACTTGCGCAGCTGACATACGCGCGAGTCACCTTCGCCATAGGTGTGTGGTTGCTCCACGTAAATCACAGCGTCCACTAACGCGTATAGGAACGCGTTTTTGACATCGATCTGGCGGAGTGGCAGGTGCCTTGCAGCTGCGATAGCGAGTAAGATGCGGACGGAGGTGTGGCGACTGACGGGGGCGAATGTCTGGTCGAAATCGATCCCATGCCTCTGGTCATAGCCGCGAACCACCCAGCGCGCTTTAAAGCGCTCAATCGTTCCGTCAGCTGCGGTCTTAACGCGGGAGACCCACTTCCCCGAAAGGATTCTTGCACCTTTGATTGCTGCGCGGTCAACGAGCACCCAGGTGTCGCGTGACTCCAGTGCCTTGATTTCCGCGTCCATTGCCTCACGCCATTCTTTGCTGTGTGGTCCAGAGAGGGCTTCGCGCGGGTTTCGGGGCTCGATGACGCGCGGCGTGTCAGAATATTATGCTCTAGCCTGCAGTGGGGTGCTCTATAGCGAGTACAACCCTTCTAGGGTTAGCTATTTGTACCACCATTGTTGCTAGTGCAAACCTCCTCCTTTTGCTTCATTCTCTCTTGCCTAGCTAGGTCAACCCTAGCTATGGCTCCTCAGTATACCTACTATCTCGACACGGCGCTTTCGAGGTTGCTGTGTGAAGTCCGAGCAGTTGTAGTCCTGAGACGGTACTGTTGTGGCAATGCTGCGGGATGACTTCCTGCACGTCATCGTCGTCGCTCTCAGGTTCTGTTGGTGCTGATGGTGTTGTGCCTCCGCCGCTTCCGCCCGTTCCGCCCATTCCTCCTCCTGAGGAATCATCGTCGTCGTCGCTGCTGCGCCGATCTTCCCAAGTGAATTCGGCCCTGGTGTCCTGCTCTAGAAGTGCTGCAGCGGCTTCGTCTTCGGGCGTTGCGTAGCTGTGGCCGTTGTTCGCGTAAACGCGATCTGCATTCCTCTGCTCGTCGTCGCGGAACTGGTCGAGGAAGAGGCGCTCGTAGAAAATTACGTCGCGAGCGTGGGCGGTTTTCTGACTGAGGAGGTCCAGTACGATCCATGCTTTGTACTCGTGACTGATGCCGAGGTGAATTCCCCAGCGCGCGCGACTGGCGAATTTGCCGATGGTTGATGTTGGCGGGCGGTACTGCACCATGCACCCCCACACGCGGAGCATGGAGGTATCCCCCTTGGTCCCGGTCCATTTGACGTGCGAGGAAAGATTCCCGGTGATCGCGGTGGTTGAAAGCAGGTTGTGCACCCGCACGGCGTGGTGCATCGCGTAAGTCCAGTAGATCGGCGGCAGCTTCGACTGCTTCATCAGCGCCCGCACCTTCGTCATCAGTGTGCGATTCGTTCGCTCCGCTACGCCTTGCTGCTGATGTGCGTAGGGGAGAGAGATGTGATGCTCGATCCCCTTTTGCGCCAGGTAAGTCTGCATCTGGTTGCTCCTGAACTCTGCCGCGCCGTCAGATTGCCAGATTTTGAGCTTCTTTCCAGATTGCCGCTCCGCATGCGCTAGCCAGAGCCGAAACACCTCGTAGGCTCTGTCGCGCGTCTCCACGTTCACGACCCATACATAGCGTGTTCCAGCGTCAATGAAGGTAAGAGTGTATAGCTCATCTTCGACTCCGCAGTGCCCTACATTCAGGAAATCGCTGTACACCTTGTGCAGTTTGGGGTAGCGGTTCGTCCCAGGTTCGAGCAGCGGGAACGGCAGGTGGCTCAGCGCAGCTTCGGGGCAGACTGTGCAGTTGCGCGGATGCGTTGCGCCTCTCACTTCGGAGCCATCGGGGCGCAGGAGTGCGCCAGGGGCGAAGACGCCTGCGTCGATACAATTTTTCAGCGTTGCGCGAGAAGGGTGTCCGAGGCGCTGGTGCCAGAGTGCATCGTCAGCGCGAAAGCCGGAGGTGCGCATGTAGCGCGCGCGTGCTTCCTCCAGGTCTTCATCAGGTACGGGAGCAGGTTCTGCTGCTGCTTCTTCTGCTTCTTCTTCTGCCGCGGTGGTCAGCATCAGCGCCAGGAACTCTCTGTCGCGAATCTCAGAGAGTGGGATGTTGGTCCCAGGGATGGTTCCAGGGACGAAGGTTGGTTCGCGTGGTTCGGGAGCCGGTCCGTAAGCGGTGCGACGCGGGGTTGACGGCTCGTTGCCCCAGGCGATGGTGTCCCATGGATCGCGGCGCGGTGGGTTATCAGGAGGAGGTAG